TATTTTATAAGAAAAAAAACAAAGCTTTAAAGTATTTTGTGATAACTCACTACTTTTATGATATTTTTATATGAATAAAATGTATCACACAAAACAAAAGGAGTTTAATAAATGAATAAATACATTAGAAGTCAGAAGAAAATGCATAAATATTTAGTACTATAGTCTGTTAGCAGAATGTCGTGATTTAACTAAAAAGCCGAATTCTTACTTACACGTTGTCACTTATTTTATGCTGAGAAGCTGATGATGAAATATTATACAGAAGCTTAGAAATAATGTTAATATAATACAGAAAATAGCTTGTTATTATTTCAATTTACATCTCTGTTGATTCGCCTCACACGGGATAGGCATTGTTGGTCAGATTCTTTCCGATTGGCATAAAGCTTGGTATTTCGGACTGATCCAATGCTTTCAAAAATCGAAGTTAAAATCATCATCTGATAATAATAATAATAATAATAGCTTTAGTCCAGACAGTATTTTCGGTACAGATATGCAGTTTTCAGCATGTAGTAGTACAATATTGCATCTAATTTTCTCATTACAGGGGTAATAAGTAAAAATAGGGCATTTACATAAATAATATTGTTCAGTAAGGAAAGGAATACAAAATTAAATCAACTGAAAACATTAACGACAGTGTAACCGTGGGGACAAAAAAATGAGGCCGTTTATTTAGAATTCCGCAGTAAGTTGGTAATTTCCTGTCTTTAACTTCTCTTACGACATAAAATGTGCGCCTGCCGAATAAGGTATTGCAGAGTTCTTGTACTTAGTCGTCCTAGCATACAGTCTTCCATAGTTACTTCTAGTTCTACCAGATGAGATTCAAGAAGAGAGCTGTGAATAGACAGGATGTTCAGGATCTCAAAGGATAATATTTTCTAACTTCTTGCAGGAATCCAAGTGTCTATCTAGAATAGTATTAAAGAGTCAGTTTATGAACACCCCACTTGCCCTACTGACGGCTTTTAGTACCCTACGCAGTATAACAAAGTCTTTCTTAGGTATGGCGGAGAAGATTAACGGGGAACGGTAAAGAAGTATAGACAGAATGCAAGAATTAACACACAGTCACAGTAGAGACGGAATGATACCAGATTGTTTTAACTTCCTTACGCTGGACGTTAAAGAAAATATCTTTCTAGTCACTCACATGATATGTGAAGACCAGGAAAGATCAGAGGAAATACTTAGTTCAAGGTATTTAATATCCGATATATTTTCAACTTCTGTACCATCTATGATAGTCGAACAGTGTGAACTAACCAGTTCATATAAGTGGAGCTTGAGTTTGAAAGAGAAATTAATCACCATACATTTGGAGGGATTAAGTTTATGACCATATGACGAGAACTACTGACTGATATCTGATATAAAGTTATTCATTTTAGAACAGTCTGACTGAGAAGTAACAGGCATAGAAACAGTCAGATCAGCAGCATAGTAAACAAAACTGGCTTCATCAGAATGGGGCAAGTCATAAAAGAAGAAAGAAAACAGAAAAGGAGAAACAACAGCTTCTTAAGGAACACCAGCTAGAGTAAGGGAAGCATTGAAGGACTTCCCATTGCAGACAGTGTTTCAGGGTTATAACTGAAGACTTTCCGAATGCCAGCTTAATGCTCTTTTGAAAGAGTAGTAAAACCTAACTGTTAATCCCGTTTGAATTATACCTCAGTTATCAACTGTTTCACCCTTTTGTCGTGTAAATAACAGCTGCAAAACTATCCAGTTAGTTAGTTAGTTAGTTAGTTAGTTAGTTAGTTAGTTAGTTAGTTAGTTAGTTAGTTAGTTAGTTAGTTAGTTAGTTAGTTAGTTAGTTAGTTAGTTAGTTAGTTAGTTAGTTAGTTAGTTAGTTAGTTAGTTAGTTAGTTAGTTAGTTAGTTAGTTAGTTAGTTAGTTAGTTAGTTAGTTAGTTAGTTAGTTAGTTAGTTAGTTAGTTAGTTAGTTAGTTAGTTAGTTAGTTAGTTAGTTAGTTAGTTAGTTAGTTAGTTAGTTAGTTAGTTAGTTAGTTAGTTAGTTAGTTAGTTAGTTAGTTAGTTAGTTAGTTAGTTAGTTAGTTAGTTAGTTAGTTAGTTAGTTAGTTAGTTAGTTAGTTAGTTAGTTAGTTAGTTAGTTAGTTAGTTAGTTAGTTAGTTAGTTAGTTAGTTAGTTAGTTAGTTAGTTAGTTAGTTAGTTAGTTAGTTAGTTAGTTAGTTAGTTAGTTAGTTAGTTAGTTAGTTAGTTAGTTAGTTAGTTAGTTAGTTAGTTAGTTAGTTAGTTAGTTAGTTAGTTAGTTAGTTAGTTAGTTAGTTAGTTAGTTAGTTAGTTAGTTAGTTAGTTAGTTAGTTAGTTAGTTAGTTAGTTAGTTAGTTAGTTAGTTAGTTAGTTAGTTAGTTAGTTAGTTAGTTAGTTAGTTAGTTAGTTAGTTAGTTAGTTAGTTAGTTAGTTAGTTAGTTAGTTAGTTAGTTAGTTAGTTAGTTAGTTAGTTAGTTAGTTAGTTAGTTAGTTAGTTAGTTAGTTAGTTAGTTAGTTAGTTAGTTAGTTAGTTAGTTAGTTAGTTAGTTAGTTAGTTAGTTAGTTAGTTAGTTAGTTAGTTAGTTAGTTAGTTAGTTAGTTAGTTAGTTAGTTAGTTAGTTAGTTAGTTAGTTAGTTAGTTAGTTAGTTAGTTAGTTAGTTAGTTAGTTAGTTAGTTAGTTAGTTAGTTAGTTAGTTAGTTAGTTAGTTAGTTAGTTAGTTAGTTAGTTAGTTAGTTAGTTAGTTAGTTAGTTAGTTAGTTAGTTAGTTAGTTAGTTAGTTAGTTAGTTAGTTAGTTAGTTAGTTAGTTAGTTAGTTAGTTAGTTAGTTAGTTAGTTAGTTAGTTAGTTAGTTAGTTAGTTAGTTAGTTAGTTAGTTAGTTAGTTAGTTAGTTAGTTAGTTAGTTAGTTAGTTAGTTAGTTAGTTAGTTAGTTAGTTAGTTAGTTAGTTAGTTAGTTAGTTAGTTAGTTAGTTAGTTAGTTAGTTAGTTAGTTAGTTAGTTAGTTAGTTAGCTTACAAGACAATTGGTTAAAATCCATTGGTGAATGAAATGAAAATTAGGTCCATTTTATAGATTTGCGGTGTTAGATTGCTAATTTAAAAATCTTTGGTTTGAACGATCTTATTGTCTACATTTTCATTCAGTGGCGGTGTGCTTAAATCACTGGGTCACCAGAATTCTCATCCATGGTACTCGGACCTCTCCCACTTATTTTGTATGTGGATGAGTTATCTCTTTTCACCGATCCCCCTATGGTTCTATACGCAGATGACTTAAAAATCTGGAGAGAGATGAAAGGCGACAAAGATACACTCACGTTGCATGAGGACCTCAACAAATTGTCAGAGTGGTTCAGAGAATGGATGCTCCTTATCAATGTATACCAAAATGTGCAACCATGCGCATTGGACACGCAAACATCATCTCCTACGAACTAGAGGGATTAACATTTCCATCAGTTCAGAGTCATTTGGATTTACATGTCATATGAAGTCACGACTTCAAACCACAAAACACTGTTGCGTGGTGGCTCCACGTAGTTTCAGATCCTTGTGGGCAATTCGCAGAGCCTTTACTAGAATCAACAGAGATATGTTCACCTTTTTATATACATCTCTGGTGAGATCAAGACTGGAAAATTGTATCCAGGCTGCCAGTTATTGTCTTAAGGGAACTCACATATTGTGGAAAGTGTTCAATGGAAGGCGACACATATGATTCTCGGCATGGTTAATTTGTCATACGAGGAAAGACTAAACTTCTCCCTATCATACCATTGGTAGAGAGGAGGTTTAATTACAATGTTTAAAATTTTTATTAATGACTACGGACCTGGCCCATTCTCTTTTTTCCTTCCCACCAGGTCGGAACACCTTATAAGACATAGCAGGAGAGTTCAAAAGTCAAGAAAAAAACTATATTGCTGTTGACTACTGGTTCTCACACCTAGTCATAAGCTCCTGGAACCGACTCCGAGAAGTGGTGACACAACCTCAACCGATTCAATCAAGAAGGTTTGGACAAGCGCATGATTAGTATAGGCTCCAAGCCTACTATCCTCAACTAAAAAATCTGAAATCTGAATCTGACTAATAACATTTGGAAATATGGGAGAACGACAAAAAGACTTTTATTACTCGTAAAGGGCATTTGAGCTGACTTCCCTGTATCAGAAGAATTGTATTTACATTTGAAACTACTCATTACTCAATAAAAAATGAGGTAATTTTCGAAACAGCGTTCGTAGAACTTAGCTAAGTAGCTATTCTCATATTGGCGAAAGTGAATAACAAGAAGAATTTCACTTAAAGCTTTGAAAAATTATTGATTGATGACGAAAAAGTAGTCAAAACATCGAGAAAAGTGTTTATGTCACTGGTGTTCAGGCACGCAACTACACATAGCATGAGACGTGTTCCATTTTCTAAATTCATCGCTACAAACTTTTTCAGATGTATTTCACATATATGAACAGGCAACTTTCAGGCAGACAGTATCGTATTTTGATTGGTTCAAAATTTTGGGTACATAAAAATATCTCGCCTTTCTGACCATTTTAATTTCTTCCACCTATATTACACACACATAAAACCAATGCGAGAAGCGTCCCGAAAATCAGGTTAGAGGTTGTATATATATTTGTTACTCTTATATGTCATTCATTGATCCCTCTCACCCTTACGATGAAAAGATTTTTCATCCCTTAATCTACACTACACATCATCCACCACCTCCCTATTATTCACTATCTAAGCAAATGATGAAAAAAGGTGATTAACTCCCTTTATCCGACTATCGTCATCATTATTATTATTGTTGTTGTTGTCGTGTCACCCTCTTTTCAATGTTTTGCTGAATGAATGAATATGTATAGCTAACCTGTTACGCTCATTTTGATTAGCCAATCGATTTGCTTAAAGAAATCTCACAAATTTAACATTTTTATACATACTTATATATATAAATATATATCGCGCATCTCAGCTCTAGTTGTGCAATAAACAGAACTGATAATAGGAATTATTTGGAGTTATCCAGATCTACAGTGTATAAAAAAGTGATATTAGCTGTATTATCACTGAATTATCTTACTATTACAATAGTTAACTACTTCCTTATCACTGTAAGTTCTAAATGATAACTTATCTGTCTTTTATTATTATTTTTTTCTTTGCCAATTGATTATACTTGTGAATACTCTTCGTATAAACTCTAAATAGTTGGCTTATTATTTACTGTGAATGGTGTATTTTAAGAAAGTTATTAAAATGGCCCTTAAAATATGCTAGGTTTATTATTAATATTATTATTGTTCCCTTGGGTTACTAGTGGAACATAGGGCTTCAACTGCACATCTCCACTTGCCACTTCTGTCTTCTGCTGCACTTTCCACCTGCATCCATGTTAGCCCATACTCTTTCAACTCCTCTTCACACGATCTCCTCCTGTCACCCTTACACTGATGTCCCACTCGCCGCTTCCCATTCTGTCGGGTTCCACTCGAGCAATGGCCTGACGCGCGATGTCACCCAGCGGCCTCCTCAGCGAGTGAGTGTCCATTCCATCTCCACATTCTCCTGCATGTTTGTTGGTTGGGGATTGGTTCTTGTTTTGTTTGTTTGTTCCCATAGTTTCTTGTTGGTGATTCTTTCCGGCCTGGTCATCTGATCTTCAGTATAGAGAGAAGACAGTTGTTTAAGGGTAGTCATATCAGTGGGTTGAATAAAACAACTCGGATAAATATCACTTGGGTGGGGTAATACTTCGAAATGACACTAAAAATGGTATATGTCTTGTAGGAAGAGATACAAACGATATTTGCGTACATATCATAGTGTTATCTATATATTTAAATTACTCATTTTTCTGGTGTTGCTGTAAATGGTAGTAAACGTTTTTGATCTTGTTATCGTTATTTTCAATGTTCTTTCTGGAAATATACAGTGATTGACTATGACATTCAAGAGATTTACACCTAAAGTTATAGACATTTTATTAAGGGAGGGGGACAACTATATATACAAGACCCTTTCTTTAAATACCGTAGTATATGCGTAGTATTTTGTCATAAAATTTGTGACAGTATCAGTCTTGACATCATGGATCAGAATATCAGAAGATGTAACATAATCTGATTATAAATTCTATGTATCTTGCCTTGAGGTGGAAAATTAACCCACAAAGTTATTCTCATTCTCAAGCTGAAAACTATATTTACCAGTCTACATTCTAGCAGAAATGAAGAAATACATACGCATGGAGAATATCTATATTTTTTTAATTTTTTTAATTTTTGATTTACAGCTTGATTCCACACCGTATTTTTGGTACAAGTATGGAATTTTCAGCATGGATATCGGTAGCCCAAATTTTGCAGGCCGACCATAGATATCAGGTGTGCGCCGGCGTGGGTTCGAACCCCAGACCATGTGCATGGTCGGCGAGAGTCCTAACCACTGTGCCACCGACGCCATAGTGAAGGGGATGCCTGAATTAAGCTTGTCTCTATCATATTGAACAGTGATAATGCACAGAATTCCCAGGAGGGGGGGAGGGAATGTTTCACTCATATCACTGAATCACCTTAATCCATCATACAAGTATTGATTTAAATGATGGCTTCCTTCTGCTTTTAGTTACCTTTAGTATTTGGTAAAGTTCTTGTATTCCGTTTTGAAGTAGTTGGACATTGTGGTGTCTGAAGCAAAAGATAACGATTAGACACATACCTGTTTAGGATACTGGATGATAGAAGTTCTTTAGCAGTTGTAATAATATACTGTACTGTATATAGGTGGTATATTCATAAAATCTCGGACAAGTAGTGTACTTTAAAAATTAAATAAAATCTTCATGATATTTAGTGCAAAATACTTTCCAGTGTGCAGTTTCAGTTAGTGCGAAGAGCATGACTCTTCAGTGCTGGGTATTCTCAGGAATAGTGCTAAAAACTTTGTTCTAATAGAGTAAAAATGATTTCTGGCGTTTAGTCCACTCTTAACTTGTATTCTTAGTGCCTAGTATTATCCATCTAGGATGGATAATCCTTCATCATCAGATAATCATAACCAGTCCAGTGGCAAGCCAATAAGAATTCTTGAAGACATCTATGATGATGACTATCAAAATCAATAGATTGTACTATGAATTATCTTTTGCTCATTAGAACGATGATAATTTGTCTAGCTAATCACACATTCTTAAGAAGTGTAGACTGAATTAGTGAAAAATTAGGACGAAGCATATAAATATATATACACTAATTAGTGTAAATAAATAAACAGATCGTTGAACTCAATGAAATGTAGTAGTACTAGTGGTAGTCTTTCAACCAGTTCTCTATACAGTAACTTACTGAGAGCAGTTTACGCAGACGGAGCGGTTACTATCAATTAAAATTTCACAACTGACTGAGTAAAATTAGTCTATACACATCCATTGTTTTCGAGTATTGGCTTTGTAGGGATATCATTTAATTGGTTAGGGTTATGTCATCATGAGCTGACATCAGTCAGAAAGCCATTGGCAAACCAACTGGTAGTACTGGACAGCTGTTTCCTACTCTCTGGTTTGGGACTCTTCAGCAGTACGCACCCACCACCAGGGTTTGAACCCAGGACCTTCTGGTTACAAGGCCAGCGAGCTCGTAGACCATTAAGTCACTGGGACCCGATCCAATGGCCGGCCCGTGAATTTTAACTTCTGTCAATTCACAATGTCTTCTTCGATGAGTTACTGCTTCATCTTCAACTTGCTTTACCTTTCTGATCACGGCTTCCCACTAGAACTCCAGGTCACTGCCTGAATAGGGCCAGTAGCTAGTGAGTATCAGATCCACTGCTGTTTATTTTGCAATAGACATATATGTAAGAAGGTTATGATAATGAAGGTGAAATGCACTTCAGTTTGTAAATTTTACAAATCAGTTTTTCGTAAATCTATTGAAGATATCTACCTTTACTTAGTGTAATGTACAGAATCTCCTCTTGTTATAAAATAGAAAGTGCGTTGGTGGCACAGCGGTAGAATGATCGCCAATCATACCTCACGTGGTTCGGGTTTCTATCCCTGGCTGACTCACTCCTTTACCTCGCTAGGTCAATAATAAAACTGGTAAAGAGGGAAGGTTAGGCTGGGGATAAGGCTAGCAACTCCATCCTGTAAATGTGCACACCACTGCTACCGAAACTTCAAGCCTCTATCTTGACGCCCTATGTTTCGCTAGGAACTTACAGGAATATTAAAAAAATAAAACAGATATGTAGTTATTGATATGATCCTCTTCAAAGGGTATGACATTTTTGGTTTATAAGGAAGGAAGATGTTTGCAAGATTAGAGTAAACTTTTTTTTACGTATTTTGAAGTATTACAATATGCTAACAGGTCATGAAATGTTGTTTGCATCTATCTGGCGTTTAACGAAGGCACTACAAAACCATATGACATAATCGTTACCCTTATTAGATGAAATAAAGTTCACCAATATAAGCTTAGAATTCAAATCTGCTACCATAATCATCAGTAAATACTAGAGAAGCTTGTCGTTTGATTATTACTATTACTGAAGTCATATGTAATAGTGGCATTTCTGAGAAATACAGAAAAAGGTAATCTCTCACAAAAAGCATGTTGTGCATTTACAAATAAAGAACAACTTAGCAGATATGTAAGTGCATGAGGTGTGCTTGACTTAAAGAAGTAAAGTATAGTATTTTGTAAACTTCAAAATGATATGCATTATTTTGATTATGATTCTTAAAAGTCTATAACATACATTCTACAGGACAGTAACCTCCTCAGTCTGATTTGTCTAACCAATCCAGCGTGATTTGTCATAGAATATTAAAAAGAAAAGTGATGATGAATAGCCTCTGTGTAAATTTCATTACAAACAGAATTTTTAATTTGGCGCTAATAAATGTCCATGAATATATATATTAGAATCAAGTAATTTTCTACAAACCCTCTAATTGGTTAGAGGGAGCCTGGATAGTCTCTATCCTGTAAAACTGTTAGAACATTAGTGTAACAATTAAGTAAGTGGTAATTTCATCATAAGCTGACATCAGTTAGAGAACCATTGGAAAACCAAATGGGAGTACTGGACAACCCACTGTTTCGTCTGCCTAGTTCGGGACTCTCCATCAGTACACACCCACCGGGGTTTGAACCCATGACCTTCTGGTTACAAGGCCGGTGAGCTCATAGACCATTAAACCAATGGGACTCCATCCAATGGCTAGTGTATAAATTCCAACTTCTCTGTGGCTGTGGCTGAACAGTCCCATACTAGGCAGACGAAACAGCTGTCTAATACTCTTAGGATTTCTAATAGTTCTTTAACTGGTGTCAGCTCATGATGAAATCCTGTAACCAATCAGTCAAATCTCTACAAACCAATACTTCAACAAGTAGTAATTTATATGTTTATCAGATGAAGCGATTTTATTGGTAATCGGAATCAAACATGTCTGAATGTCGATGAGATGAGCTAAGGATATTAAAACCGAACAGTCCTACTTCGTGATAAATGCTAATCACAATCTGCAAACCTGTATATAATAAGCTAAGTTATTTTAAAGCACAATATCTGCTTACATTCCTTTAATTTTCATGTTCTTAAATCAATGATTTCCAGTGATGCATATAAAAGTTCATCTCAGGTTCACTTTAATTATGCTCTTTAAGACTGTATAATTTAAAAATACCTTTTTTTTAAAAAGCTTGATTTGGAAACTGGGGTAAAGAACGGACAATATGTAATTTTGTAAAGAAAAAAATAATTTCTTGTTTTTGATGCATTTACGTCCTGGGAGACAAATTAACCATGAAATAGTTGGCTAAGATGAAAATATATCGTCCAGACTACTCGATTAGTGACTTCAACGAAGTGAACAGTAGGTATTGTTAATATGTTTTTTTTGGAGGGGGTGGGAGAGAATTCACTTTATTTTAGCTTCATTTGTCCTAATAAGATAACTGAAAATGTAGTTCTAACACATAGTTACTGATAGTCAAAAGAAAGGGAAATTAAGAGATGCGATTATTCTGTCTATCAAGTGATGTGTGAAATCAACAACTATGTTCCCCCTTCTCGTTCACATATGCAATGGGATTAGTGT